CGGACACTCTCAATATTTTCTACGAAGTTCTTTCTTCCATTAAAATTGGAAGAATGAATTTCTCTTTGTGAAAATCAACTTCTTTCCCCATAATTTTTGGAAGGTTAGGGAAGTCGAAACTGATCCATATCTTGCCGACTTAGACATGAATGCCATTGATTTACTCCTAAGTTCTAAAATCAAATTATATGGTAAGGAGTTCTTTACCTGTCAAACTGTAGCAACCAAACTGGTTGGTTTTCTATCCAGTGACCAGGATAGGGATTTAATTGAGAAAGAATATGAGACTTATAATTTTCCCTTTCTCTTTTTCTTTACACTTAGAAATCTAACCCCTTTTTTTTTTTTTTTTTAGTCATAATGGCAGATTTTCCCAACTCCTGTCTTCAAGAACTCCTGCTTAGTCTTTTACTGACCAACAACAGGTTAGTCTTTCACGCCCAATAGGTCAATATTCTTGTTGTTCAACCCTCCACAGATACTGAATAGAATAAAAGGCAGGGTAAGGAAAAGAAGATCGCATCGAAGAGTGGTCGCCCAGATGACAACCAACCATCTCCTCCATCAAAGAAGGTCACCTGTAATGTAGTCTAGTAGGTCGCCACGGGGGATTTTGATGCTAGGAGGACAGTCCGTTATGGGCTCCACTTAGCTAAGCAGTAGGCAAACCATATGCTGCCACCATCGATGTGGCATTTCAGGTGCATGGTATTGTTCAAGCCCAGCTAGCTTCCCACCATCCACGACCCCCATCATTTTTATCCATAATAGGGTGTTTCTATTAACGATCTCAGTATCCATACATTGCCCACAAGTTAACCATGGTTCAGTATTGTTAAGGGACCAAAGATTCATAAAGCTGCCTTCCAATTCGCAATTGATGGACATTTTCTATACTATCAGAGCTTAGGTGTGATGCCTATGAACCCTTATTTCAAGCAGTCTTCTCTCAAGAAAAGTTCTTTATTTTCTCTCTTCCAACGTCCTAGGTGATTTTAATATAGTAAGTTTATAATATAGCTTATTGATTCTCAAGCCATTTATAAACACTACCATTGCCACCTTTTCATCCTTATCTCAGAGTTGGGGACTTTTGTTATTGAAACGAGTCATATATTTCATGAGACACTCATCATGCCTTTGCTTTATCACTATTAAATGTGCTACATTCTTGGAATAAACTTTAGAAGGGACAAACTATATTGCAAACTACCTTGCTAATTTAGAGAAAGACCTGACTAACCCTGGAGGCAATTCTTGAAACCAAAGCCGAGTCCTTCCCTTCAAGAACATTGGGAAAGTTTTACAACAAATTTTGTTTGCAGCAGTTTCCAACTGCATGTGAGTAAGAAACCTGAACAAGTGATCCTCTAGATCTGTAGATGCATCATACATATCCATGATACTAATTTTGAATCTCCTCGATAGAGGATAATCCTTAATTTGCTTAACAAATAGGGAAATTGTGTAAAGGTTTTCATACTGGTGGCTATAGGATCAAATCGAGTTTATCCCAAATTGGATCCTTGGGCATGTGACACTTCAAATAACTTCTTGTAGACCGGGCATGAAAGTGATGTGAGTGATGTTGACCAGCTTCTAAAATAGAATGTGCTCCCTAAGAGGGGATTGAACCCGCTTCCTCTAAGGAGGGTGATCATCTGAGTTATTTTTGGAGGATAAAGCTTGCCCTTCCTTTCTCTTTATTACAGCTTTTGAACTTTGCACTTCTTTCGCCTTGCCTTTTCCTTTCATTTGGTGAACAATGTCCTCAAATAAAGAGAGGTTATCTAATACAAAATTTCAGAATTCATTCTTTCTTCTCTTTTGAAATCTGATCATCATTGTTGTCCTAAGTTTATCCAGGATTGTCATGAGCTTCTTTGGGATTACTTTGATTAGTATTTCCAACAGTCTTCTTAGTACGAGATTTTGCCATAAGAAAATTATTTTTCTTTGCTCCTACAGATGGCGCCAATTGTTGAAGTAGTACTTCTTCTTACCAAGCTAAACTAGAAAGACAGGCTGGGAGTTCGGTCATGTGAAAGGTAGGGAGTTCGATCATGTGAATGCATAACTCTCTAAGAAACCTATAAGAAAAGAATCAATTGGTCGGGAATCTTAGGATCAAGTTTCTAAGGTCACTTCGATGTTTAAGTCAGTTTTCAATTGCCGAAAATTATAAGAGTTTAATAGTGTGTATTGTGTTTCAAATGCCTTACCTTATGGCATGTGTTGAAGAGATAGAGATTCAATCTTTTAGTTTGGTTGGGTAAACATTAGTCCATAATTTGGTTGAATAAATATTAGTGTAGATGACGATTTTCCATCCTTAGTCTGATAAAGATAGTCATTATCATTTGTTGGTTAATGTTACACTTACTTCTGAGAGCCACAAGTTTATCCTTTTTTACCTGCTCTTGATTCAAAGAGAACTAATGAGTTCGAATTCAAGGCCAACTTAGTAATCGAGCTGGTGCAGTTCGGTAGCCACGTGGCATACATGCAAGGTATACCTCTTCGATGATCAATAAACTAGCATGGGTTTGGCCGTGCTACGCACTGGCCTACCCACTGATATGACCAACTTAATTATGGATTAAAAAATTACTATTTATTGATTTTTTTTATTTTTTGAATTTGCTGTAACAACGAGGATAATTTGCTAAAATGTCATAATGTATATATAGGTTCAAGAGGTAAATAATATGCAAATCACAACCGTAAATTACATAAACTAACCATGAAAAAAAGTAAAAAGTCTAAAAAAGAATGTAGAAAATTGCTGTCCAAATGGAAAAAAGTAAAAGTCTAAAAAAGAATGTAGAAAATGAAATTGAGTAGTATAAAACATGGAAGCTGCTCAAACATCACAGCCTTTGCTTAGCAGATTTTTTGTCTATCATTTGTGTCCAATGCCGGAATACAATACGAGCCTTAAAAGATGTTTGTGCCGTATAACTTGAAACGGGAAACTAAAAGCGGCAAAATTGGATAAATGGTTAACCAAAACTCGCTGCGTGCGATGTGAATAGTCGATAATAGTAGCGTATTTGATTTGGTTTGAAAACAAATGTTTTGAGCATAAAGCCATCCGTACCTGAGAAGACCGACTCGTTTGGAGTATTTAGCGAGTCTGCTGAATTATTAACGCTTCATTTAATTTGTGCAAAGACATATGTGAATCTAGCTTCCAATTCATAACAAACAGCTAAAATCATCATGCAACATTTGAAATTAAAAACAGAGGAAAAGCAAACATAAGCTAATCCACAAAATTACCATCATAGTGATTCTTTTATCCATAACATCAAACACATGGCGGTCTTTAATTAACAGAAGGCAATTAATAGAAGGCAACAACATTCAAACTGAAAATTGCAGTTCAGAATAGAAGGAAAGAAGATAGAAACATACCTTTTTTTTTAAGCAACAATATGATGGAAAAAAAGCTTGTTTCAGAACAAGAATGTCGTATCTCTGTCACTCATTTCCTAAGCAAAATCAGGGACACCAACTAATACTAAACAGAAACAAAAACATAACGAAACTTCTAAATGAAAAAGACCAGCACTTTGATACTCCTTAGTCAAAAAGACTGAAGCCCATATCATCATCGGACTCCTCTTTCTCTTCTACTTTCTCCTATTTTTTATCCTCAGCAGCAGGTGCAGCGGCAGCACCTCCAGCTGCAGCGGCAGCAACTGCAACACCACCACCACCACCAGCGGGTACTGAAGCCAACTTCTCCCTACCAGCTGCAATCATCTTTGTGATATCCTTACCATCTACTTGAGATAAAAGCAAATCGATTTTTTCATCATCAACATCAACTCCAATGGAAGCAAGGATGGCCTTAATATCCTTGGCAGAGGGACAGGTGTTTCCTCCCAACAAGGCCAACAAATATGCGGTGACCACCTTCATCTCTGAGATACAGTGGAAATCCAGAAGAATGGAGAGATTGATTGCTGATCGGCTGCAGCGCCCGAAGATAGGGTTTTAACGCGAGGAAAATGAAACATACATATATTTTCTGTACTTGTACCATACATGATTAAAAATTCTTTTTTGAAAGTAAACATCACTTCAAATCAAATACCGGGAAAAGAGGAGAGTTTCAGTGCTAAATTCAAACCAAGTACCAAAATGATTGATAAATTGGTACTGGATTCATCCCTAAAGTGAGCTGATTTTGAGGGAAAAGAAATATCACTGAATTGATTTTGGGGGCAAAAGAAATCTTCACGTGTATGTGGAGGATTTTTTGGGTTGCAATCAAAATGAAGTACAATTAGTTGTTGGAGGAATTGGTAGAAAAGTGAAGATTTTGCAGACTTATTGGTACCTATCTCCCCGAAAGACAGGGGAAGGAAATTCTGGTTTTGAAAGCTAAACAACGACCAAAAATGATGATTAATAGAGAATCATTAGGGCTAAGTGTTAAACTAACCACTTGTTAATTATGGTGCTTCACTAACTAACGGGTCTAACATGAGTTATACTAATAAGACTGACTCCATTATCTTAATTAATCCAAAAACAGCCCATGTGATAAAAGGACCCACAAATAGTCAACAACTATTTGTATTTGATCAAAAAATTATAAAAGAAATAATTTCAAATGTACAAAAATAACCCTAAATAGTTAGCAACTATTTAAAGAGCTAGTTTTCATAAAAGGATTCAATTGACCTTTCCCACCAATTAAAAACCAAACAAAAGGAACAAATGAAAATAATTAAATCATTTTTACCATTTAGCCCCTAAATAGGAAGGAACTATTAAGCCTTTGAATTTGGACACCAAGGCTCAAATAGACATTTCTCACTCTTTAATGGCCAAAATAAAGAAACGAAAATTGCTTCTTACAACGACACCTTGACACTTGGCATCAATGGAGAACTTGAGTTGTTCTCTGTCCTAAATAGTAAGGAACTATTAAGCCTTTGAATTTGGACACCAGGGCTCAAATAGACATTTCTCACTCTTTAATGACCAAAATAAAGAAACGAAAATTGCTTCTTACAATGACACCTTGACACTTAGCATCAATGGAGAACTTGAGTTGTTCTCTTACCTAGTTGGTAGATACTACAGCCGTTACAAAAAATCAGGGGATTGTTGCATTTAACACATTTTTCTTGCCAAAACCCAAAACCCAAAACTTTGTTGCCCTTTTTCCTCTCAGCACCTATTTTTCCAGGTATAGTTTATTCACTGTTCAAATTCTCACACACAACGCACTTCTATGTGTGTGATTGTATGACATTCTTGATGAATTTCAGACGATAGGTTTGAATTCAAGCATCTAAATTCCGCTGAATTTTTATTGTTTGTGGACAGAGATAAATAAAAGGGATGATGGGGTTTGAGGAAATGGAACCCGTATTTGGGCAGCTGAAAGCAGAGTGGTGTTCAGCTCCTCAGCAAACGACACCTTTGGAGCCTTTCCTCTTCCTTGCTGGTCCCCTGCCAAATAACCCATCTACCCTCCGCATCCATGTCAGTGACTTCCATTCCAACACCTGGGCAGCGGTTAAATCTCATAGCCAACTTGAAGACATGGTCAATCTGATCTTTTTTCTTGGTTTAAGGGTTCCTTTTTTTTAAAAAAAAAAAAAATTCTGTTGATGATGTACACCTATGGTAGCATGACGTACAACTCTTAGATGAAGGAGTTTCTTTGGCAGCTTTTTGAATCATTGTTTAAGTTGTGGGCAGCTAAAGATTGGAAGAGAAATAGAGAATGTAAAGAAGTAATTGATAGTACATTATTAGAGTAAGTGAATAAATTGATTAAGATTCTTAAAGGAGGTACAAATTGCTTGTTGGATGGTTGAGATGTGCGTTTAAAAGTGAGAGAAGTTAGGCTTCCAACTTAAAACGCATTGAAAATGAGTGCAATGTAGAACTATAGCAGTGTCATTTAGTCAGAATCTGCATAAACAAAGTATTGTTAGCACACCTTTGTTGCCAAAATTCAGAAATTTTTTGAAAACTTTCAAGGTTGGGAAAACACATACAATCTTTTGATTGCAAAAAGTATAAAAATTTGTAGAACATGTGCCAAAATATGCATGTAATGACTATGCCCAATTTTTTGCTACTTGATTCGAGTCTTGTAGGAACTCACTCTGTGGAGATATTAAAAACTTGAAATCTCGAGTATAAGCTTTCTATGATTGCTAATTTTGAGCTCAATGGATCAGGTGGGACATCTTTTAAGAAGAATCTGCTAAAGAAAAATCTGTTGACCCTCTTAATTTCCATTAGAATCAGACATTACAGGAGGTTGATTTGATACTGATTTGGACATTTTGAGTAATTAACGATTAAAGTTCATTATTAAACAAGTAAAAAGTTTAGTCTGTGGTGTCATTGGTATGGTAGTTACTAATTACACATGGAACTTTGGGATGGGTTTTTGGACTACTTTTGGTGTTTTGAGTTTCTAAAAGAAATAACACTTTGCTTTCTTAGATTTGAAGGTCATTGTTCAATTTTCCAACAGGACCTTGCTTTCTTATGGCATGAAAGGATACATAACTATACTTTCCCTAATTCTTTCTTTGTGAATGGTACTTCCCAAAATTAACTTACTGTGTTTTGATTCCTTTTTTTAAATTCATCGTTGTTGTAATTTCTTCATTCTCAGAGGGACAGCATTGGAATAGGTGGATCCTGGTCTGAGTTTGTAGAATACGTGGTTGCTTCAATAAAGTCTGATGATGTAAAGCTTGTTATGGAGGGAGAATCCAAATCAGGAGGTGTTTTACTGTCTATTGCTTTTTGGTTTGATGCATAAAGTCAGTATTCCTTCTGTTTCTGCCCTAAATGAAACCTTCTATGTTGGACATGTTGAAGAATGATGTGGAATCATTTCTTGTTTTAGTTGCTGACTTAGAAGCTTATTTTAAATGCATGGAATGTAAACCAACCATACCGTTTGCATGATCTGATTTTTGTGGGATTAGATTTACTGCAGTTAAGGGTTCAGATATCGCTTGGCCTGATATCTTCTTCTGAGTAAATGAGGCTTAATTTTTCACATTGTTTTGGTTTCCTTTCTTTGCCTTGGTTTACCTCGTATTTTGCATTTTTGCTTTCTGCCTTCTTTGTTTTGGGGAAAGTTTTGCATGGGAAAATTTTTTTGGGGGGAAGATATTGGGGAGCTCTAAGCTCCTTGAATTTTCCCATTCTATCTGCAGTGTATTCCCCCAAGTGCAACCATCTTTGCTAAATAATTACAAGAGAATTCAATAGGAGAAGGTACTTTTTTATCATAAGCTTGGGAATTATATTTTGTTTTGTTTTGTCTCCTTCCTGTGAGACAGAAAGAGTAGGGTTACCATGATGATGAGATATATTTAGTTTTCCCTACCATCTAGTAGCTCCATTTTATGGTATAGATTGATTTCTGTCTATTTACTTTGCCGGAGTTAAAGCTGTTTCTAAGTGTTATGTTCATTTTGGCTGCCAAATGGGCATGTCTTCTTCTAGATTTGAGCCCTTTAATGGTGAATTACAGGAAAAATGAATTATATTGTCTTTTTGTTGTCATTTTCACCTCATGAATCATGGGACAACTGCTGCCCTGTATTTGTTTCTCTGCAAGATTTGCTTTGCTTTCCCCATGCTTAGTCAGCTTACATGAATGTGTCTCTACTTTGTATCTGATTTCTGAGTCACCTGTAAGTCTTTTGCAGGCGCTGCTTATGCAAAATTAATTGCTCAAAAAGCAAAGGGAATGCCTCGCATCTCTGTTTCTCTTGTAAAACTCGTTGATGTCAATGCAAGTGAGGCTATGGCAAATCTTTCGCTGGAGCTGTACAAGGCATATAAGAATATGCATATTTCACTTATAAAAGGTTCTTTTCTCATCTAAGCTCGCGATGCTCAAATAAGGGACAGATAGTCTTCCCTTCAATTATGGCATCTGAAAGGGGTTTTCATACTACATACACTTATGAATGGTAGAAAACAAGGAACTTTTTATTTTTGCAGACCATATGGATTCTCTTACTCTTTAAACTGGTGGAAAAGGGCATCTTCTACTTTTCATTTCAGTGAAGAATGTGATTAGGTGGTTCAAACATAGCTAAGCAGTTATATACCACTAGTATTTAGACCAAGGTTTCCTCTACTCCACTGCTCTAGTAGATGGTTTTTTCGATTAATAAGTTTCTTCATGGTTCATATTACTTTCTTAGATGTCTTCTTGTTATATTATCTTTTGCAAGGTTTTAACTTTTATCTTTTAATATAAGGCCTTCTTTGAGGCTCCTTATGAAGCAAGGAAAGCTTGTAGGGTGGAGAGGTGACTGATTGCTCTTGTTTAAACACCAAATGGGTGATAAGGCACTAATTGACTTGCAAATGTTTTGGCACAATACCAATAATTATCTTGGTGTTTCCTCCTTATTAGCAACCAGTCTGGGCTAGTATTCATCACTTCTTATTGCCTTCCCCAGATGTGCTTAGAGTTTTTTTTTTTTCTGTCTGTGTTTGCATTTTTCTATTTGTTTTTGAAATATTGATAATGAGTATATGCGTAATAAAATAAAACCATGCATCTGGTTATTTATCTGACTATGACTTTGATTGTTCCTTCAGAGGAGACACGCCGTTGTCAGTTGACAAATAGAATAGCAGCAGAACAGGTATGTTTGTTGCTATAGCCCTCCAAAATTTTCTTCTAGTAATGTTCTTCTTGAGCTTGTGAAAGCTGCACCAGCTGATGCCAAATTAGTGAACAATATTACTTTTGGTGACAAAATACCAATTTCTTGAAAAATTCTTTGAATGAGGCATTTAAATTAAATTTGGGAAGTACTGATTCCTTAGAGAATTATCTTGACTTTAGGCTACTATCTGTCTTACGACAATGTATAAATTGCATATTACTCCTTTGGTTGTCAATCCAGTTAAAGCTTTAGCTGTGAGGATCTTGATTTAGCTGAAGCAATTCCTCTGTAATACTTGCAACCTAAAAGTTTGAGCTGCATAATGTTAACTTATGACCTAATTATGTTTGGTTGTGTTTTGGTTGTTGACTTCTGTTGCACACCATGAGAAAGTGTCTGGTTCTCATGCAATAATAATTAGTGCTGAAAAGTTTTTTCTAAATTGGTGTTTGTAGAAAACTTGAATAAAAAAGGTTTCTGAGATTAGTCTGGTGATACCTTTCTAGCCATCTTGTTGTAATCAAGTATGTAAAGAATCTTGTTAATGTTGAGATATATTTATCTCTTTGGTGGCATAGCGGATGATGTGAATTGCTATGTATTCTTTTATGATATGTTTGCTTCATCTATTTTTCAGGCAAAGAGTGAAACTCTTCAGAAACAACTCAACTCGATGCTATTCTCAAAAAAGCAAAAGTTGCAGAAGATGAATGATGATACAACTTCAGATGGTGTTTTAGTTACGCCATCACAAGATTCTCCAGGTACCCAATTCATGATGAGCTAATCCTTGATTGGGTATTTGCTATATAATTAAGATGAAGTTTCTGATCTTAGTTTAACACCATAGGGGATTATGATTGAGAGGAATATGTTTTCTGGGATGGCTGATATCAGTATAGTAAACAAAATAGGGTGACAATCTGGTTAAAGGAAAGGTTATGCATTTATGGTGTTTGGTCAGTTGTAGAGACTGATTGGATCTTGTTCCTAAACCATGCAACCAGGGTATCTTTCCACTGTAGAGGTGTATATCATTCTCTCTTCGAATTGGCAAGTAATGTATTTTATCTGAACCCAAGGGGTGCATGTATGTGGACAAGCTGAAGGTGACTATGAAAAGAGCAACAGAAATTATGTCCATCAATTTTGGTAAAGATAATACAATCTGGTATAAAAACATCTCAAAACACCCTGGCAAGATATACAACACAGAACATTAGTACTGATGCAACTTTCTGCTGTACCATTTGTACCAACTTTCCTGTGGATTAGGTTTCTTTTTTCTGACTCCCCCTAAGCACTGTTGGCTTTATGTATTCACTCACTACTCCGTTCACACATTCTCCTGGTAATCTATCAGCATCCTTATCCTTTTATGTTTGAATAATCATATCTGCAGATGTAAGTTTAATGCTCTTAGATTTGTCCAAGATAACCAACATAGTTCAAATATGATCTGGAATCCTCTAGTCCACCGTTGAATGATATCTAAAGTGGCTTTGACTGCCTCTAGTCCTCTAGTTATAACATGTAATGCATCTCTTTCAGTGTCCAATAACCAACAACGTCTACATATGACGTCGATGATCTCTCTTGGTGTCTTTTAGTTCAAGGACATATGGAGTGGCTTTACTTGTCTTTCGTTATTATGAACATATTATATCTCTTGGATCAATTCACAACAAGCTTGTTCATTTACACAAGATTCAGGCAACTGCTGGCTTGACAATTGGGTTCTTATTTGATTTCTCCTTTTCTTTTCTTCTTTTCCTTTTTCTGTAAAGGCAGGTTACTAAGTAACTGGTTGCGTAACTGGCTTAGTACAAGCCCTTTCTTTTCTTTTTTGCTTTTTTTTTCTCACTTTCCTTTTCCTCATATATGGAAAGATAAAGAGTAGATTTCCAAATTGCAGATAAGCAAGCAGCACAAATCTCAGCATCAACAAAAGCCACAACTCGTGTTGTACCAGCTTATCGCAGGTCACTGACTTGTCCAGCAAACTTCATTTTATATTTTACCCTTGTGTGATTTTGACAGTTGTTGTTTGGCAGGGCAAAAGTACGAGGAGTTTTTCTACAGGACAGTGATGATGATGATGCATGAGATTATGAAGGATGATGGCTTAATCTATGTGATGGCTAGACTTTCAGAAATTCAGCTCTTCTGTTTATGATAGGATATACAAGACTAATTATCAAACTTGCAGAAACTTAGATGGGTTAGATGGTCTTAGGCTGTAGAAAATAGATCTTTGCTACTAGCGGATCAATATAGCTCAGTATATGTTTTTCTCTCTCCTGGAAAAAAGGGGATGTAATATGCTATCTAGTTTGAGGCATACCTACTTCTTCAGTGCTTGCTTGTAGAGAATCTTTTGAAAGACATTGATTTATGATTATTAAAGGAAAGAATTTACTCAGTTCCAAAGTTTTTCTGTTGGAGAAAATGTTAGGAGTCCTGCTATTACACAATTATATGTTCTTAATTCTGTGACTTATCTGGATTTTTTTTTAATTCATTTCAAGAACTGCTAGTTGTGTTATCAGAAGGAAATGAGAAAAGCTGGGAAAATTTGTGCCATGTGTGTAACATTAACAATCTTACCGGGCATTTTGAAGCCATAACTTTATTGTTTGCATTTTCCCTTATTACGATGTTCCATAATTTATCTCATGCTTGCAGAAATGCTAATAACTTCACTTTGATTCTCTTGCCAAATATAAAGTAAATAAATTGGATAAATGGAGTATTATCGTGTCATGGACAACCAATGTCAGGTGTCACGGTTTGATGTCTTTTTTGCTTCACAATATGCTACAGTATGTAGATCATTATTACTATGTACTGTAGTCGTCCTTTTATATGATCCTTTGCATGTACATGGGCTACACTCCGCATATGGTCCATGATGTTTCGGCCTAGAGGAAGAAACACCCCCATTGTCTTGATGGTTTGGATGTTCCACTGCTCGAGGACCACCTACCAGGAAAAACAAATGCTTTTAGCAGACCTGCATTAGACATGATGCTTGAAGTTCCTTGCTAAAAGATATTTCTAGGGTTTGTAGGCAAATGGTACTATGTGATGATATAGATAATTCAGCTAAAGCATCAATACCCATTGGCGTATATGGAGTTTTCTATATTTCTACCAGTAAAGGGATGCAGTTTTGTGACTTTCATATTCTAATCCCTATGTCCTGCATGTTTTATCATCTGCAGAGTTGACAGTTCTTCTCATAGCTGAATGTTTTCAAGAAAATGTGTGGATGTGTTTTCTTCTGCTGAATCTTTTTTACTTGGTCTAAAAAAGAATCAAGTATAGTTACAAGTCCCGGATTCCTGAACTTTACCGGTAAATACCATGTTTCTCAAAGTACTGCATCTCAATTGATTCGGAAATCAGAAGAACAGATTTACGCAATAAGTATTCCTGCTGTTGAAGTGGCTTTGCTGAGAAAATCTTTGTTGCATGAGACGATAGAATGCTTATAGTGTTCAGGAAGTGCCTGTTAGAGATGCACAATAGAGCCAGAGCTGAGAATTTTACCTGATTTTGCCCATTTTTGAGCTAGTTTTGCTGTTGGTATTATTCATCTTTAGGTGTCTGCCTGTGCTAGTCATGCTTATATCTGAACTTGACATCCTTGAAGGTGATTTTGTGGAACTTACTTTTGGCATCTTGGAACCTAGAGAAACTGGAAGAGAAACTTTCAACAGGAAACGTTCACTATCAATTCTTTCACTACGTGGCATACTGTTCTGTTTGGAGTTTCTCTTGTCCTGCTCCAGTTTGACTTTGTTCTTACAGTCTCTACTATCTTCCTTTCTAACTTCTTCCTGCCTGGACTCTTCCGTGCTTTGCTGTTCTCTGAGAAACTCTTTGAAGGACGGCTCTTCGTATGCAGGCTCGTACACGTTCATGATCATCTCCTTAAGCATCTGATTACCATCTGCATTAGCTTGTGCTCCCTTCTGGGAACATAAAAACCTGCATTTGTTGCAGTATGGCAGGAAAGCAGAAGATTCACATAGAAAATCCCTTGGTGCCGTAATACGTATAGGCAATGAGTAGGTTGCAGGGTCATATACAATCTGCTTCTCCCAGTAGAACCCACGTTCATTTTTTCCTAAACAGTCGCATTTATAATCATCTGCTAATATTTGTTCAAACTGCAAATGAACACGAGGAATACTGTTTGCTCTGTATTCACTACCAGATTGACAGATGTGGTGGAGAGGAAAAGAAGTGTAGTTCATCGTCTCCATGCTTGGTTCATCATGAGGTTTAGCTTATTAGGCAAATTGTTGATAAGAATGCCTTGTTTCAAAACTGATGATATTATCCGATATACTTTATACTTCTTCAAGTTGTTTAAACCAGTCTAATTCACAGACAACAAATACATTTGCTGTCAAAGCTGATTTTTGTAATACTATACTATATCCATATTGTTTCAGTTGCATTAAATATGTTATCTTTTTCTTATGACAATTCAGTACTAATATTTTATGGTCATTTTTTAGGAATGAACTTCTATATTAGTGGATTCTAGTTTACCTTCTTTTTTTTTTTTTTTTTTTAAATTTAAGGTAGATTCTGAGTTTTATAATGAAAAAGAAAAATGAGAAGGGATTAAGAGTCGAAACGGAGATCTGATTCTACAAACATCATTAATTTATCACCAAACTACTAGTTAAGTTGGATTTTAGCAATGTTAAGTTGGTGGTCATATCACCAAACTACTCATGAGTCATGACTCGACCACTACAAACATGAGCATTGGCTCCAGGCAAAGACAACTATCATGACAATTATTTGAGCTAATTTATGGAGAACTTAATAATATCCAGCAACTTAAATGCATTTAAAATCGACTCTGACTTGGTCATTGAAGATACTAAGACATATGATGTTTTCTTGTCCACCATCTTAAGCACGATTGTATGTAAATAATAGTATTAGGTATCATCAACTTGAGCCAAAACAAAGAAAAATTAAACATCTATAAAGTCTCCATCGCCCACAGATGCTAGGGATATTAACCAGGTAATTAAGATGTCTCTTGATTTGGCTCTCTAGCCTTCCCTTTTCTTTCATTCATTTTTTTTTTTTTTTTTGGTAAGGTTCAAAGTCTCTTTTGAATTAGCTAAAGGGAAAAAGAACCATCTAAAAGGAAAAGAAGGAAAATAGAAAAAAATGGGCTTGAAAAGAAACAGCAAAAGTCGACTCATTTCTGGCTATAGCTAGCCACGACTGGGGAGGCTTATATTTGATCACAGTGGGGGCAGCTCCTTGATGAATCTTTTTGTATATGGTAAGAAATTGTTGTTGAGTTCTATTCAGTAGAAATGGATTCACATAATTCTTATTATATTTAATGTAAATTTGTATAGTTTTGATGTAATCATGAATTTTACAACAACTTAATTATATGATATACCGAATACTGTAAGAATTAAATGAACCGTTTTGAACTAGACAAAACTTAACTTGCGAGTCCTAGTTTCTGTAGTTGGTTTCAATAAATTTGTGCATGTAAAAAAGTCGTAATGATCGGCTAGTCATTGACATTTCTAAAAAATTCGCTGATTACTAAAAAAACCTTTTGGTGTTTGCTTTGGAAACATTTCACAATAAGAAAATTAATTTGCTAAGAAAGGCAACGTTTATTTGCAATATACTATCAAAAGATACTCAGTAAATTTTATACGAAATTCACACAATGAAAATGTATGTTATGTGCAAGAGCCAATAGAAATACCTATGTACAAAGCAACATTGTATTTGTTTGTGGGTTGGTGTGTGTGTGTGTGTGTTTTTATTTTTTATTTTTTAAAATTAAGGAAATAGGCACCCAAAGGCACTCGTTTCACAAAAGCATTGTTCTTGACCAACTCATCATTCTATTCATACACTTACGAATCCGATGCAACAAATTGCACTGGTGTTTTTTTATCTACACCGTAAAATGTCGTTCATGAAAGCAAACGTGATGTTTACTGTTTTTTATGTTGGAAGGGAACATTATTTATTACGAAGTTCATTGTTCAAAACTATGGAACTCTTTCTTTCTTCATATTTTTTTTGTCAATGAGCAATATCACCGCTGCTTCTACTCTAATCTGCACTAGAGGAGGGCTCAACTAGATTAGAAGGGGGTTAGAGGAAGAGGATTCCACCCTAGACTAATAGGTTGTATGCACTACTGCACACCTTTTGAACCCTGATCTGCGGTCGGGTTGCATTTTATACTTTGCCGGTGATCAACTCATTTAAGGCAAGTTGGTTCAAAACTGTGGAATTCGAAATCGATTCTTTAAGTGATTTTATTCACAATACTCGAAAAATCAGCTGAGGTATTCATCCAATAAGCAAAATTTAGAGTAATAAGCTATATGATTTTATTATCTCGTCACTATGAAACAAAATTATTCTGATATAGTATAGAAACTTATTAAGTTTTTTAGATGGTCCTTTTGCATACTGCTTATTTTCAATTTGGAAAATTTCACGTTCAAGAATTTTATTAACAATTAATCATATTTGTTAAATTTTTGGATAAAACTCAACTCAAATAGAAACTCATAATTAATCGAAAAGTTTATCAAGTTTAATCTAAGAATGATATCAATCAAATTTAATTTGAAGCATGATGTTAATCGAGTTTTTCATTATTAAGGTATGTCTCGACCTCTTTTCACCATAAAAGATCAACTCTTTCATGCTTTTCCTAGTGGACATCATTTTCTCTTATGACAGAGAATTTTGGCTGGCGTGCCTAAAAAAATGTATAGAAGGGGAGCCGCCTGTAAAAGCTTACTTTTCCCACTTATTTATATTGATTTGCCAATGTCCGAAAAAATTTACAAAGACAAAAAGAGAAAGATACACTCAATGCTTCAAGTTTTACACATAAATAATTTAGATGAGGGAAATAGATGAAAAGGGTTTTGTCACTTATTCTAGCTACCTAAATATATATGTAGTCCTCTCTCCCTTCCTTGCACCATTCTCATCCTTAACTGACAAGTCTCAAGTCTAAAATTCAAATCTTAAACCTAACAGTAGGAAGAATTCTATGAACCTTTCCCTGACCAGTGAACCAAACACGTGTCATAGTTGAATGATCAATTTGAAACTGAAACCGAAAAGCACTGCAATGGTGCACTTTGTCCCAAGCCCTAAAAAATATGAAAATGTTGTAAATTGGTTTGTGAACCGTTCTAAAACATGATTGTGGTTCCATTGATTTTCAATTTTCAAACGTTTAAAATGAACTTTATCGCAAATTTCATACACAAATGAAAGAGTCTAATGACATTTTATTAAGTTTGATTAATATATTTCATGCCAAGATAAGGCTTGAAAACCTGAAAAATAGACTAATATTATAGAAAGCACAGAAAAAGTATGATCTTACTAGT